GACGTCTGGGTGAGCCAGTCAGTTTTGCTGGGGTGAGGCGTGGCTGCCAGAATAGAGTGACTTTAATAGGTTCGAGCATGGAAAAGCAACAGGCGCCCACTTCAGTCCGTGGATCACTAGCGTCTAATAGGGTTTAGACATTACAAAGTAGCGCCATGTGAACGATACGTTGAATTTTGGTGGACCTGGTCATGCTATTGACGTACAGGAAAAAATACACTCCGAAATCTAAAAATATTTCTTCTCTACAGTGCATTTATATTAGATTGGCACGGTATGGAGGCAAGTACTGGGAACAAGTGGCGAGAAACACACGATTATGTAGAGATACTTTGCGTTATATCGTATATACAGGAAGCATAAAGGAACCTCAGTTGAAACCGGTATGCAAGTGTGTGTGCGGATCAACAAGGAACGGATCTATTTGTCCGATAGTACTGATGGCCTAGTTAAGTAGCCCTCGAAATAAAAATTAAAATCTATTTATGCATTTGAAAGTACGCGGTTAGTCGTTCAAAGATGTCCGCTTTATCTAGTCTGAACAAACCTGATTTCGTTAGCATGTAACGAGTCACTTAAGGAAACTATAAATATTATCAAATCAGAGCCTCCAGGTGTGTTTTGAGTTCACATTTCGATAAATTAAAGTAGTTTCTTCGGTCATTCAGCCACCTACCAAGCTCTCCTGCTATCGAGATCCAGCACGTCGAGTGTGTTTGCCTGCCGCTGTGAAACGGTGTGGTTAAAGGCAGGACTATGAGTTATTCATATGTTTAGTTGAAATTTTGGCAGATCTGCCTTCAGCAAGCAGGAGCCCAAAAAGTTGAAACCAACTGTGGGGACCTGGAAGAAGTGTTCGAACTATTAGGAATCACTAATATTAGCTTCAAGTCCAGTTATTTGTTAAGGAGAGAAACGTTCCCCCACCATCTCAAAGTCGACTGAAAACGAGGCTAGGCACAATGGCTGGCAAAGTTGAGTCTCGAAGTCAAAGTATCGAAACGCCCTACTTGTTTCTATCCAACTAGATTTGACGTGAGCATTTTGACTGCTACATCTGCAGACTTACAAGTCTGGATATTGTCAATAAGCTTAAGAGATAAATGTCTGGGTTTTTTGCAAAAGGATAGTCCAGGTCACAATAACGCATACCTGAACAGACCAAGAAGAGGAGAGCGCATCGCTGACGTAGCCAATAAGACGCAGAGCACGCTCCCGCGTGCTCGGCTTGGCAAGTGCATGAAGCAGAAGGGTCTTAACTTCGGCAGCGCGTCCCTCTAACAGCATCGGTTGAATGCGCCGAGTAAGAGAATCCACCAAGAGCCGGTCCTGCTCCCTTATATTCTGTCGTGATCGGTGTCGTTGCTGCCTGCCCTGCCAGGAGCGGGTACGCCTTTCCTGTCTCCGCAGGAGTTGGGGGGAGCGTTCAGGGGAACAGATGGAGGACGAGGAGGAACTGGAACTGGTATTCTTGGAAGACGCTGAAGAGAAAGGTGAAAGGTCCACCTGTCGAAAGTCGTTTGCAGAAAGACTTTCTGTTAAGCATAGTAGATTCCTGGAATTCATATGTGCATTTTCCGTATACAGCGGACCAGGAGGTGCACGACTTGACAGTCTACAGGAGGATGGTTGAGCACTATTTCCCTGTGTGGGAGAAAAAAAAGAAAAAATAACAGAAAACGGTTAAAAAGGCCATTTCCATTGAAAATTACACTAATTCCTTGTTTTCTGTTGAAAATGAGTTGCTCCAAACACTTTTTAAGTATCCGACTGAGGACAGTGTTCTTTTCCACAAACTGTGAACGTCTCGCATTAACACCATTAACACCCGTTACTTGTATGTCAACGGGGCCCTGACCGACTAAATTAGCTGAAGTTGAGCTGAAAAACCTTAACAGTGAAAAAGCAATTGATTTAAAAATGTGTGTAAGGTTGTGTCGATGGTTTTTCCCCATAGTTCCTGCTGAAGATCTAACCAAAGGAGCATTCGAAATCGACCCTGGGCTCTAATAGTTAATCTAAATTCACATGCAAGAATTTGTGTTGTACCTTGCGAACTCTGACACTCAATACGGTTTGCGCTTGCCACCAAGGTGTGCTTCTTGAGGCTCGATTATGTTATGTCTTGTAAACAGACCACGTAGTGAGAGAACACACTGCAGAAGAACGCTTGCATAAAGATGGGGTAAATATATAGTTGAAACATCGTTTTGTTAAAAATGACTTACAAGTGTTGGATCTTTCGCGACAGGTAAGAAGGCACACGGGGTCGGGGGAACGCTCTTTCTTCGATGCTCTCCATGCAGGCAGTGTATTGTGTCCAAATCAGGATGACCACGATGTCCGACTGGCCAAGGGCTGCAGGATCTTTTGGCTTCCGCTAGGCGTCGGAATTCCTCCTTGGCAGCGGTCGTGGGGGCAGGTCCAAAATTAAAATCCCATGGCCATGGGGCCCTATCTGTGCTGTTAAGATCGGCTGATAGTCTGTAATAATCTTGATGGACTTCCGTCGTCTTACGGCCCTTTCTTTTGCTGAAATGACATTTTTGCAAGACATCCGCTGAGTTATCGAAGGCAGAATTATAGTGACTCGATGATGGTAAGCATTGGCGGCAGGGCAGGCGATACATTTCCTCACTGTTTATGAAACTGACACCATCCAAATTTGGTATATTTGAATCTGGAAGCTGGTAAAAAGTGGATTTCTGAGCGTTGTTGGTGGGTCGCGGCAAAGGAGTTTCAGTGCTTGATAGAAGCCGAGAGGGAGTCGCGTTCATATGATGTGAATGTGTATAAATCGAACAACCTGGTTCATATACGGAGGAATCGTCAGCGACGGTTTTTGCGGAAGAGGAATTAAGGCCATGGTTACCAATTTTAATTGTTATGCGATTTTGTTCTGGTCGACAAGCGCGCGTATTTTTGTTGCGTATGAAGTGCGTTGAATGCATGAAGGCAGGTATTGTAGTCTGTTCGCCTCTTTGAAAGGATTTTTGCTCGGCCAAAACATGTCCGGAATGTACACCAGCGTTATTGTTTGATACGGCTAGCGGGGAGTTC